CCCCTTCATGTGTTTCCTTAATATACACATAGTATTAAATTTAAATTTTCTTGCATCATGCATGCTATCTTAATAAATAATTTATATTAAATCATTTATTTAAGTCTAAAGTGGTACGTCTTATGAATACATATCGAAACTTTTATTGCCGTTCGCACTCTAAATTGTGTATTCCAAATTCTGTATTCAAAATTCTGTATTCCAAATTCTGTATTCCAAATTCTGTATTCCAAATCTGTTTACGTTTACTACACATTGTTACTTGAACTCTCTTGAATACACGGATTCGCTTTGGCTTAGCGAATCCGTAAGATTTGCGAAACAACAATAGATTGATCTGAATAATATCGAATTATGGAACTGTTTTAGGAATTATTGATAGTTTGGAGAAATTAGCGATACGACTAGTCTTATGCGGCAGCGAAAGTATATATTTTATATATATATTTTTTAAATTGTAAAATTTATACGTTTTACATATAATAGATTTTTTATACTAGGAAATCTTCTAGATGCTATCGAAACGCCGGAGAGCGTGATGAACGTGGCGAACATGAACGAGACAATGGCGATTAACGCTATTCAGAAGAATTTAATGTTGTGCGAGACTGTCGTGAATCCAACATCTTCCAGCATAGCTATGTCCAGCACGCCACCAGCCTATTCTACCGCGGTAAGTTTCCTTCTTAAATTCAATTTATTATTTTGGATTCGTAAAGTCTTTCTTTGGAGTCTTGCGCGTTTTCCTCAAATTATTTCTCAATTGATATACCGTGTGGTTATATAAAGGAATTCTAAGTTATTAAATTTTATCGTAGTTGGGAACCACACCTGTGACGACTAGTCACAGTTACCAACCACCTCCTCTGTACCCACAGCCCAGGATGAGGTTTGGTGCCCAACCAGGTATTAGACAGACCGGCCAGTTTACGCAGTTACAGTTGCAACAGCAACGCTCTAAGCTCATACAGCATCAGCAGCAGCAGCAGCAGCAACAGCAGCATAAGCAACGATTATTGCAGCAGCAGCAGCAGCAGCATTTGCTTATCCCATCGAATGCTACTGCGACGGATCAAATTAATAGTGGTATTCAAAACATCGACAACCTTTTGAACAATACCGTTGCGCCGCCGAATGTGTCGTTGCAGGTATGCAGTTTATCACGATAGCACGATAAAAGTTCGATTAAAAATTAAAAATTACTATAAAACGAAACTGCTTGCATTCTTGATTTTTTAAATCAAATTTTCATAATAACGAATGGTATCTGAAATTTCGAAGTCAAATTATACAAGATATAATTGTTCATAATTTTTAAGTTGCATTAACTTATTTCTAACAAAACTGTTGACTGCTGTGTTTTATATTCAAAAGATGCAAAATAATTGCCAAAACAAATTTAATGTGCAATGTCTTTTTTTTTTGTATTCAGCGGTCGAGTGTCCCAGATTCACAAGTTTCTCCAGGCTATGGGGCATCCGTCCAGATGGCTTCTGGTCACCGACTCGCTCATCCGTATTCCCATCAATCGACGATACCGCAGCAGTAAGTATCTTGTTACGTTAAGCATCTCGGACTGTTTATTCAGTTCGAAAGGTTTAAACGCGGCTTTAAAGATCTTGTAACACGATTCCCTATTTGTTGCAGCCACATCGTGAATAACAATTACAACAGTGGTCAACCAGTGTCTACAACATCGAGGCTTTCGCCACATTCTCCGGCCAGTATGCTGCCGTTCCCTCATCCGCAGCCATTATCGCCACGGGTGGCACAAGTGAGTGCGAAAACACTATTACCTCGGATTAACACGACGAAGCAAAAAATACTCGTACAAGTTCTCTCTAGAAGCATTAGCTAGAATTAATTGAGGCTTAATTATCTTATTCGATGGCTAGAAATATGCGAAGAAAAAGAACTTTAATTAATTTTTTTGCGAACTAACTAATGCAAGTGCGAATGCTATGCGTAACAATTACAAGCTTGAATTATTATACGTTAGATTTCTACTTGTTATTTTATAACACGATACGTTGTTTCTTTGTCTGCTGTTAGTTTTCTTTTATATACGCTTCTTTATACATATCTTTATTTCTCTGAATATTTTTATACGTTTGCACGATATATGCGCCAGGGTAATTACGGCAACACACCGAGATTATTCAACGTGAACCAGGTGAGGCCGCAACAGCAGGTCGCGGCGCAGCAACAGTTACAACAGCAACAACAACGATCGATGCCCTCGCCTGGAACGGCAGCCTCCGCTCGGCAGTCCCCGTTTCCTGCCGAAGCGTTTCCTCCACCGACATCGCCTACAGCCAGCCAATTCCCACCGGGTCCCAATACCGGGGCACCAAATCCGTCAGCCCAGTATCGACTGCAACGGACCACGTCTACACCTTCTGCTACGACTCAGTTGCCAGGTATGTATCGATTCTCATCCCAACACATTGTCGGATTTGAGTGATAGGCATATATATTCTCCTCGTTTTAACGTTAATTAGGATTATCGTAGTTAAAAAATCAGGGCTGGTTGACGAAAGATCGAAGAAATTGCTCCGAACTTGCAGCAATAAGAAATATTTGATTAATATTAATTAGAAACATATATGAAGAATTTTAGGATATATTGGTAATTAAATAGAAAACTATACTTAGATATTTTATTGTTTAGTAGCAATGAAGTAACGGCAAATATGGGATTCTTATGTTGTGCGGTGTGCGAAAGAGAGAATATGACGTATATTATACTACATTTAGTTGTAAGATTAGAAATATAAGCATCGGAAGTATATAAGTGTCGGAAAGTCGTTTTACCGTGCCATGTTTAACTGTATTCACTTTAATTGATTTCAATACGTTGACTTGATAATTTTACTTGGTAAGGAGGAATTTACATAACAATTGAAAAGATTTTCGTAGCTGCTTTATTCTTTGTCTTGTCTATATTTCAACTATAATTTTTTAATATCGGTAAATCGACTTCTCTCTCTATAGAGTATTCTGATCCTATGATGTTATTTAACATTTAAGTCATAATGTGATTCGCGGTCAGGTTCTTTGTCACGTATTAATAAGAGGGAAGTTTATTGTGTAATTCTTAAATCGGCGGTTACATCCATTTTAAGGCGTAAAGAATATGTTAACTCAATTTCGCGTCGGGTAGTAGCAAAGATACTCTTGAGTAAGTATTTGCGTACTAGTTTTACGTAGAAGCTCACTGAGCTGATTTTCACAATAGAAGCCAATATGCGCTTTAACGTACAATTTATACGCGCGATGGAAGCTGTGATTGAAATATACGAAAGACTTTGTTCCGAGGTCGGTAAGTATGTACAGATTAAGATTAACTTTGTTCAATCTACTAAATTGTGGAAGCCGTGCGTAGATTAGTCGGGTATGCGCATAGACTTTATTAGTACTTTTTGTGCCTGTACATCTCGATGTTTTTCTGTGAATAGAATTACTGTGTCATACAAATTTCTTTATAGAAGGAAAGCGTGACTCTAAGTAACGTAGCCGATTTTGTATAATTTGTCATTTGATCTTTTAATAATTTATGATTGGAGCGATGTGTTATACTAGAGATTGAAACGCTTATCTTATCTCATAATTTTCTTATCTACTGTCTCTCAAGCAAAATGCTTTATAATTTTGTTTCTTTATTCGTGGAATTTAAGTTCGACAAATTTCTCTTTTCAATATGAGCCTGACATTCCGGTATAATTATGGAATTTGTAAAATATTGCAACAAATTTAGTGAGATAATAGAAAAGAGAGACATTAGGGACAATAGGAGCCGGATAGAAGGTGGTAAATAATAAATATAAGATGGAAATAGAGCTTCTTGTTGATCCAACTGGCAATATATTTAGTTAAATGTTACATTTGGTACCAAACAAGAAGCTTTGTTTCCATTTTATTCATCACTGGTGACCTTAAGTATACTCCTCTACTAATAAAGATAAGATTTAATGTATATATATTACAAAGGTGATATCATATATATAAGTATACAAAAAAAAGTTAAATGTTTCGGTCACGGAAGTGACTCCCTTCAGTAATAATCTGATTACAAAACGCTAAGTCATTATGTGATATTTAATATATTGGTCAATCATATCTCGTTTGAAATGGTCCAACATTTTCGCTTACTCATCTATAAGCTGACCATCTCTGTTTTCCTGACATTGTAATACCGACAGGCGTTTATACCACGTCATTTTTATACATTAGACTTACACATTTCCATCGTCTTTTACACAGTAAGGGTTTCCCTTTTTATTTCGTTTCCTTTCAATAATTAATTTATTTTATTTGTCTCATTTATTTTTATTAATTTTTTTGCAATCTTTTACTCCTTTTTTCTGACACACCTCTGGTATCTTTTACTTAACTTTAGTCTGTAGACCACAAAATTGATATTAGTTCCACCCTCAGATACCCAACTAACAATAAGTATCAGACTGCTGAGATGCTTTGCTGTGAAATGGATTACGCTTACATAAGTTTTCAGCTCTTCTTTCTCTTACTCAAAATCTGCGTTTACCTTAATTGACGTTCTACGATTTTTATATATTTTAATTCCAATTAACTTCATTTGTAACGACTTATCACCGTTCAAATAATGACTAAGCGGTTTTTCATCAGATGGTTACTGAAGAGGGTCACTTTCGTGACCGGAACATTTACCTTTTGTGTATAGTTATGATACCACCTTTGTAATATATGTATGTATATACATTGAATCTTATAATTTATCACTTTCTATCCGGTGACGGCTCGCATTGCCCCTAATGTTTCTTTCTTTTCTACTATTTTAATTACTAATATCAATTTTGTATTTTTCCTTTGGAGTCTATTTACCATTGATAAATATAGTGAGATTAATATAATTTATTACACGTGAGTTAATTTTAAGAATGTAAAATAAAAAATTGCTACTTTTCTTCATCGTCAGACGTTAGACAATATTTAAAACTATTGCAAAATTGTCGATTGCCTTCAATTATATATAATATACATGACTGTTCATATTTGACGATTCTTTGCGAATATAAGATCCAACTAAAATAGTATCGTGAATAAATTAAATCGAGAGGACCTTTTAACAGATCTTTGATAATCAATTTGAGAGATCTTTCGACAATGTTGGAAATACGAGAAAATTTTATTTATTTGGCATACGAGTATCTGCTTTTGACTTTCGCCCAGCAGAATCGAAACCCGCTTTCCGGGTGCGATCAATCATTCAGCCAGTCGTTTAATTTCTTCAACATATAGATCTCGATCTCGATATTATGTGCGTGGCTATTTGACAATGAGCGCTGGCATGGTACATGAAAGCGAGATAGAAGCGTTTTTAAATGTTCGGCAAGGCTGGCGAAGGGTAGCCCAGGTTTACAGGATTGATGTTGCAGGTGGGATTGGTTCGCCTCGGCACTACGGCGGCGTGAGTAAGGAACAACCTCTTCTTTCACCTAGTCATTCACACTCGGCTTGCCCGGCAACACCTACCCATAATCAACACAACGCCACCAACACACAACATTTCTCGAGTCAACAACACACTCCCATGCTATACCAACACGCCAACGCGAACACTATCAACACGGCAGACATGCAGAACAGTCAGTTCTGTTACGATCGGTCGACAGTACCGCTCTATCCACCTGGCGGAGAGGCGCAAGATGTCAGGTCACTGCCTCCGAGCAATACCGTCAATCACCAAATGGGTGGTAAGTCATGTGACTTTTTAATGTCATGTGACACTTCAAAATCATCATCACAACCCTGTGGCTCCTCGTTAGAAAGTACTCATTATCACAACAACCATACATATCACCTCTACAATGACTTTGTGGATTGCAATACATATATCCGCAGCAGCACCGCCTACCATTTAATGCCGTCAAAGAGGCGGCAGAGGATTTGGCTGCCAACGCAGCCTATCTTTAGGATGTAAGGCATGTGCTAGGTGTATTGAATACATGTAAATCTTTTCCTCTCTTCTTTTTCTTTTTAATGACATTCATCGGGATTTTCACGATGTGCAAGTGTTTGGGTATACATATTTTTTATTATTTAATTTAACTTATTATTTCAACTATTAACATTACTTTGTCTTGTCCATTAGAGCCTTTTTATAATTATTAATACCGCAATGTTACATGAATTGTATATTATATAATATATTATCATGTAATACATAATTATTATATAATATTCTAAACGTAATTGTATACTAAAATTAAAGATTTTAATTTAGTTTACCTTTTTGCGTCAATTGATAAATCCGGTGTGGAAAGCAGAATATATCAATGACGGATATAATTACCAATAAAATTAATCCTTAACGATATTATTAAATATTCCTCGCTGTCAAATAAATAGCTACATTCTTTTATTGTGAGATATTCAAAGACACTTTTGCCTCAGTGGTTGAATTGGTGAGACGCCCACCTAGAGGAGGTCCTGGCTGAGGGTTTGAATTTTCTGTGTTATTAAAAATGTCAGTTATAGTCAAGAAAACTGACGATAATTATTATCTAAGTCATGTTTCGTTTTTTAATCTTTTGGTGGTACTCTTTCCATACATTTGATCGAACATAGACCATCATTTTACATAAAAATGTGCGCTAAATGTTTGCATGGTGCTTTTTTTGTGTTCGTAATTTCTACAAAGTGTTCATATATGTGACAATCATGCGTAATAATAATTTTACGTGTTCGTGTCCCTCAGAGAACAATTATTTATGTCAACGTGCACTGATGTATACATGGTTCCCCTCAGATTCATCAGATCAAGAAAGTTGCACATTGCCAATTTAAATATACTTTGTTGTAGTGTATCGATTCTCTGTATTATAGCTACTTTCTTACCGAATCTTCAATGTAGCACTAACAATAAAGTTTAATTTTGAATTTTTTTTTATTCAAGTTATTGTAGATTCCATAATATTAGGAGACTTAAGTCATAGGTGAATGTGATTATTGTACTTTCTATGAAATGCTTTATCTTCTCTTTCTAGGTTGCATGTTATGTTAAAATGTAAAACGGCAAAAAGTAACGGGAAAGTTCTTTTCTGACTTTCTCGAAGAAATGATATGATGAGCAATGTCGAAGACATACGACCGTGGAAATTGGAGATAAATCATCCAAATTGATCAATTGTGAATCTACAATAGCATAGAAGAGATCTGTCTAACTGTTCTTATGACCGATCACCTTGATCTGCATTTCTCTTGCTTTATCTTGTCTTTTGTCTGCTACTTAGGCCCGGTTTCACCAAACGCCGCTTAACTTTAATCTTAGTTTAATTCATGTTTGTCTCTTTCTAAAGTAACAGTTTGAAAGAGACAAAGAACGAATTGAGCTGAGCCTAAAGTTACACAACGTTGGTGAAACCGGGCCTCACTCGCGTGGTTTTAACAAAGTTAGACAGTTCCGACATAGAAATGAGTAGTAAATTTAAGAAGAATTGTACGCACAAATTTATTGTTCATATTTTACTTGTATTATATACCCATTACCTTACCCATACGTATTGCACTACTTCATCATAGTTTGCAAGATACATAATTATCACCTGCACCATTCACGAATATGTGCTAGAGCATTACGATAATGTACCACTGCGTTTATTTTACTGTAAATCGCGTAACGATCCCATGTGTAATGTATTACAGTATTCATTTTATTCTCTTGAATCATTGAGGCATTCTTTATATGAAACCGATATGGTTTTTTTTTAAACTTGATAATATGTATATGGTACATGTTCTTTATAACTTGATTTGTCGTTTGTAACTTGGGAAACAAAAAATTTTCGAAATGCAAAATTTTACCATTCATTGTCCTTTCTTTAATTCTTTAATTACACAAAATTATAGCAATTTTGAAAACTGAACGTTGAGCCATCTTGTATTATTGTAAGGTGACTCAACATTACAGGTATCGTTACTGTTAATTAATCCGTCTCCGTTTGTGTATAACCGTGGATATCTTTGCATTATTAATATCGAAGGTGTCGACACGGAGTTGTACTATATTATACCATATTGTAATTATATACAGTAATAGCAGTTAAGGAACATATAGCCGAACTTTCTTAATTTCAACTCATCGGGACCAAACGAACCTTTTGTTCTCGACTGCCCCTTCGGTTCTTTACATTGTAGTAGCATATGCGTAGAATGAAAATGAACTCGTACGTCGAATTGCTGTGAGCAACTTGAGTATAAATCGCTGGATCTAAAGGTAAGAATCGATCATATTTGACTTGCTGCACAACCGAATCAATGTCTCTCCTAACAGCAAAAAGTCGACGGAAAGTTGACTTAAAGTCGACTATTCCGAAATATGACTTGGCGAAAAGTCGACTTTTTTTAGGACGAAAGTCGACTTGATGTCGACAAAAGTTGACGAATGACCGCAGAAACGTCGACTTTACGTCGACTTTTAATCGGAAAGTCGACTTTCCGTCAGTTTTAACAGTTTCTTTAACTTTTATAAGTCGACTGAAAGTCATCTGTGCTGTTAGGGTCGGCTTAACCGGCCGATTATGGTATAATTTCTAGTCATGTCTTCATTCTATGCATATCTAGCAAATGCGAAAGTAATGTTTCGCAAGAGGGGGAGTTCAGTTTAGCGTATTAATTTCGATTGAGCGAAGATATGGAGAAGCGCTTGAGATTGAGATAGTTCGACTGTACACATTTTCGTAGTACGCAAGGTGTACCATGGTTGAGTCGGTCCTTTGATCTTTTCGGTTTTGACCACGTGGCATTCTGCCATGGTTTTGGTATAAAATTCTGTCGCAATAGGTTCGTTTTCTGTTCCTGCACTGATGAACCAGTGCAGTAAGCTAGAATGAGAAACAATATGCTTGTCTCACTCTAATTTTTTGCACTAGTTTACCAGCGTAGCAACAGAAAACAAGCCTACTGTCACACTGATTTCATTGACCGTATCGTAGCGTCGCAAATCATAGATTCGACCAATCAGCGTTGAATTAGAACTAGTCTACGACCCTTGCGACGCTACGATGCGGCTAATGTAGAACCAGCCTTATTGGTTTCACCAAAAAAAAAAACGGCGAATACGCAGAAAGGATCAACGCAAAATAAAAGAAATGACAGAGTGGGCATACTAGTTATACTATAACTAGCAGGCCCACTCTGCCATTTGCTTGGTTTTGCGTCGATCTCTTCTGCGCATCCGTCATTTTTATGGTTCAAAATGAGACAGTTGTTGTATGCGTGGTAGTATAGCTTTGATGAGTACGTACACGCACAACATACCGCTGGATTTGGACTAAAGATATGGCGGAATACCACGTGATCGGGACCGAAAAGATCAAAGGTCCGACAGAGAGTGGGCATACTAGTTATACTGTGGTATTAGCGTAAGCTTGCATTAAAATCAAGAATGTTGGCGTTCTTAAACGTATAATTCCAGGAAATAGAATAGTAATTTTATGTGCACAGGACAACGTCCTGTTTTCCGTGGCGCGGGAAACGCCGAAGGTGGCAAACGTGACGTTAGAGACTTAAGGCCCTGTGTCCGCAATATTAGAACTTGGTCCAAGTTATAGTTCCAGGAAATGTGCACCCTAACAGCAAAATGTCGACGGAAAGTCGACTTAAAGTCGACTATTCCGAAATATGACTTGGCGAAAAGTCAACTTTTTTTAGGACGAAAGTCGACTTGATGTCGACTAAAAGTCGACGAATGTTCGCAGAAACGTCGACTTTTCGTCGACTTTCCGTCATCTGTGCTGTTAGGGCAACCAATCAACCTGTATCTTTTATTGAAAAGCTGCAAGTTGATTGGCTACGCATTTCTTGGAACTAGAACTTGGGCACAGTTCTTAGATCGTGGACAAAAGGCTTTACATTCGTCGATATACAGAATGGACTGAGCGTCGCGCGCGACGTGCCAGCACGTGCTTTGATGCGAGAGAGAAACACAGTAGGATATGCCTGCCTCTCTAATGTAGGGCCGTCAAAGGACAGCCCTTGACGTGCAAAGGAAAGAGAGACAGGCATATCCTATTGTGTTTCTCTCTCAGGCCAAATGGCACACGATGCTACTTTTCCTACTGGACTGTTTACGAGAGAGTAATCAGGATTTAGTTTTAAGCCACCTAATCTAAAACTCCTTATTGTGCCGTTGGTTTCACTTCAGAGCGTGTGCTGGCAAGTCGCGCGTAACTCAGTCCATTCTACACGTTGATGACTACATCTTACTCATTCTCTCATCTCTCGGGAGGGGAAAGGGGGGGATCACACATATTGTGTTCATTTGTGTAATATAACATCACAATGCAAAAAGGATGAATTCAAACACCGCTTATCTCTACGTGCTGTGGAAACATTTACTAACAACGAGGCCTCTTTATGTACAGTGCATCGAGCTTTCGTGATTAATATTTTTATATATTTTGCGCATTTTTGTTCTATCAATCCCATCATAACGTACGCACTATTATTTGAAATCTTGTGATAAATAAGATAACACGCCGTGTACTTTCTCTTGATTACTGATCAAAGACTTTAAGTTTGTTATACGATAGGTTGCCATACTCTTTTCTTCGAAATGTTTGTTTTAATGCGTGTGATTTTGTTTTGTTGAAGGAAACAAATGTGTAGATGCATTGTTTGCACATCAAAGCGCTTTGGAAAATTTCTTTTCACTTCTTTCTATTTTAAACCCATTTGAGAATAAAAGGGAGTTATGTGGCGTGGGACAAAAAAAAGGTAATCTGGAAACAGAAATGAAAAAGTCAGTTATTTTTTACTCATGTCACCAAAAGTAATGTACTCTTTCGCAGAAGGCAATATTGTATGTAGCAAAACTGGTGGGAAACCAGTTATTTGTCTCCTTTATCCATATTTGAAAGAATTTTAAATCTCCTACGTGAACAACGAACAATAAAAGATTTCTAGATAAAGGGACTTTTAGAGAAAAGAGAAACACGGTCCTGTTTTATTTCGCGTGTTAAATTTTTCACAGTTTGCGATGCCTGGCTGTGGGATACAAACTTTTGTAATACTTGAAAATCTTTCGATGAATTCGCCTGGAAAATTCGTACGGCAAATGAAGTGTTAGATCAGTGGTTAAAAAATTTTTTCACGTTTCATTATTTTCTTAAAAATGATACCGGGTAATTTTTGGGCGCTATCTCGCGTATGTAAAAACTCTTTTTTTAATACATCTGCCTCAGTAAGTTATATTTAAAACATGAAATGCCGCGTATGTGTTTGAATACACTTCAATGTAATTTCAGCTCTGAATTTAATTGCCAAACGAAGGGGAGATAGCTTGTAGTCACCAGTATTGACAAAAAATGGAACAGGAAACTTATAGTCAACCTGACTGGCAGATTTTCTTTATTAGTTCGACGTTTCGACCCTATATTTCGGGTCCTTATCAAGTAGTGCTGCAAATCAACAACGAACGCAATTGTAAACTTTGTAATAATAAATAATAAATAGGTATATATGATAGGATAACAAGGAAATAAATAATAGGAGTAGGTAAGTTAATAAATAAAAGTGAATAAATTTAAATAAAAGACAAGACTAACCCAAGTGTGTCATCGTCGTCACATAGGACAGAGTCGAGTTATAAAAATTGTGTACATGTGAGCACTGTGGTTGTTGAGCGCAAACTGATTTGTTTTCGTAAACTTAAATGTAATATATGACCATGTAATCAAAACTGTATAGGTCGTGTCACCTTGTTTCGCTCTTAAAGACAATACCTACAAATCTGGGTGCATATATACATATTTATTATTTATTATTACAAAGTTTACAATTGCGTTCGTTGTTGATTTGCAGCACTACTTGATAAGGACCCGAAATGTAGGGTCGAAACGTCGAACTAATAAAGAAAATTTGCCAGTCAGGTTGACCGTAAGTTTCCTGTTCCATTAATTGTCAAAGTGATATTGGAATAAACTCAATCTTTCTGGAAAGGACAATTTCAAAGAATCTATCGAGAGAAAGTACACCGCGAATAAAACAGTTTTTGTCTTATTGAACGACAAGTGGATTCACTACTGTTTCCAACCCAATTAGAGATTGATCATGTAAGACGTATATTTAATTTTACTCGTCAAGAGTAAATGTTGAGTCGCGCGGAGCCTTCGCGCAGATGCAGCATTCTGTATTGCGCGACGGACGTAATGAATTTACGTTAAAATCATACACCCGCGCCCGCGCGCACACATACATATACATATCACAGACTGATAATTAAGAATTGTGACGTGCACAGGAAGTGCAACACGACGCTCGGTTTATAAAGGTTTCTCTTGTTGTAGGTAACGTCAGCTCGGAATTCGTGCGGCAGAAATTGATAACGGTTGTCGGCGCGCGAACGCAGCAGCAGCAACAGCAGCAGCAGCAACAGCAGAGAGTGCCCAACAACCTGCAGAATAATCTTTCTGGTCAAGTTTCTCAGGACGAACTTGAAGCACTTGGTCTGACATTCGAAATGCCTTCTGCAGGTATGTGGGTAGTTCAATCTTTGTTCGCTGTACTCCGAGACTTATCCCGAAATCGTGGATAAGGACTCAGGTAATGATTAGCCAGAGTGAGTCAGCTCGTATAGCAAACTGGGAATCTTAGTAAAACTATGTTTCGTGTAAATACTTTTTATTTTTTTCCCCCAATTTTAACGCAACGACAATTGTGCGCTGCCCGGAGTTAGAGCGCAGAGTGATCGAATCGAGCGAAGAGTCTTGCGCGGCTGTTCGTCATTTTAGCGTCGCGCCTTCGGTTGCACGAGTTAATCTGTAAAATATGTGAATTTGTTAAAAAAAAATATATATATAATTTTCCTTTGCTGTCTGTAAGTTACACTCGTGAAATGTTTAAATGTGTGGTAGATGGGAGTTACTTATTTTCAAAATGCGAGATATCGCGGTATGCCTTCGCGGCATACGCGAATCGAGAGTTATCGATCGTTCGTAGGTGATTTGCCGTTTCGCGAAGAGGCAAGTTTCAATTCAAACAAGTTTGCGCTTTCGTCTGTATTTCTCTGTAGAGAGAGGCATTGCTTCCCTTCCCTCGAACTTTGGCGAGACTTTCGACCGTACCCAGTGTTAGTTCCGGTCTTGCGCACAGTCCCGATATCATTTAATGTCTCGTACGACGAGTTTTATGAGCGAGTACTGTGAAAAAGTATTACCAGCATCATTAGTTTACCCTCGTAGATCACGCACATTTTTTTTTTCTAAACTCATCGCACGCGATTGTTACTGTTACAACTGTCTAATTATCATTTGTTTTTGCAACGCATCTCCCGAGGCCCCCCCCGCCCCCCGTGCGTTTCTCCGTGAGATCTGCGTAAGAAATTTCAGAGATACGTAATGAAATTCGTCGAGCCTCAACTCTCCCAGGGTAGTTCCGTGCGCAGGGAGTATCGCGGGCGAAATTTTGTTTCTTTTTTCACACGACGGAAAGAGAGTACCGAAACGCGGACTTCCCGTCGCGTTTAATCGCGGCGGAGCTGTTAGCGCGAGCCTTTCGCGAAAGAGAGAGACCAAAGCGAGTCCTCGACCGATCCGGCAGTCCCATCCGTATCATGGCTGAAGCACGCGCGATCGCTAATTGCGTAATCTCCCGCTTCTCGCACGGAGAGGCAACAATACTTTAGTTCTACAAAGACTGTGGTAACATCTACTGTTACGATGTCCCAACTAGGTGAGGCTGTGGTTAGCGATGGCCCCGCCAAGATCTGGGGGAGCGCCGGAAGTGCCCCCTCGTCCTCCAGGGTAAGAGCCCCATTCCGACAATATATAATTACTTTTACGTATTTTTTTTTTATTTTGATTTTGTTATGCTATGTCTTCCCTCTATACGCTTGGCTTCAGAACTGATTGTGCACGAAACATGTTTAATGATCTCTCTCTATTTGCGCACTGAGCGTAAAACTTGTATGGGGTTACTTACTTTTGTTTGTTTTTTTTTACCTTAAATTTAGAGCGCTCTACAAATGCATGCGAGGTCGTCGTTCGACGATCGTGTCTCGGCATTATCGTCACGGTACTCGCACGTGACGATAATTCTCTCGGATTTTCCGCAATAGCCGTATATAGTTGGAGATTCGAGTCTCTTGTGTGTATGCTAAAGTAGAACGTGCCCTGAAAGTATAGTTGAATTTAAAGAAGAATCGAGGGAGATAGCATTAGTTTGGCGTAGCTACGAATTTCTAAATAATTAGGGATTGGCTTTGTAGAATTTATTCCTACTTCTCTTTCTTTCTATTTTCCACTATTTATTTCTATTTTCTTTTCAGTTTAATACCTCGGTTTAACTTTTTCAGTTTAATTGATCAAAGAGAAGGAAGAAATTGATTTGATAGAGACATGTCTTTTTAAGTTTCTTTCTTCGATTTTTTTTTCTAATCTTCTACGTTAAACTTTTTGCTTAACGTGCGAGTTAAAAATGTTTCGATAAAATAATGGAAGTGGTCCAATTACATACTTCTGCGACCTTTTTGACCGCTTATAAGTTTTTAAAGATACGTAAGAAATTAATCACGCAATTTTTGCCTCGACTTATAAAAGATATCGGAGTTCGTGTCTTTAAAAATTCAAATTTTACATTTAGTTTGCAAATAGCAATGTGCTACAAAGATATTTTTATACAAGTGAAAATAGAATTGATATTCGGCACCCCGAGAGTAGAATTGACATTACATCTTTTACGAAAGACAAAATTACAAAATGTCTTCTATATATTTCTATTAAGTACGCATTGCAATAATGCGTCATTGACGAAGACGTTTTTAAGTTTTACACTCAGTGTCAATGAGAAACGCAGTGTTTAGTATTAAACAAGCTGATCTTGTTACCACGCCAAGTAGATTCTTGTTCGAGATGGATTTTATCGAGGCGCATTAGTTAAACATGTTAATTGCCTCTACTGTCTGCATAATATAACGCGTTTAGGAGTTGCATTACATTTTGTGCAAGAACTAATTGTACTTCTCCGGCTGCATTAATTGCGAATAACTTGTAATTTTTAATTTTCGTTTACACAAGCGTACAGCTAACTTTTGTTCACAAAAGCGTACGGCTACGTGACGCTAATTTTATTATGACATTTTCTCAGACAAAAATAATTAGTGGACCTCTGTTACAGAAATACAAAAATCTGCCGATCTATGAATTAGATGATATGAATAAAGCTCAGGATTTCATATATCCACGTACCGTATTTAAAGTTCCATCAGTTTTCTCAATGTAAATATTCGGATTATAGATTTCGGGAGGAATTGAAGATATGGGAAGAGTTGTTGCGTGAGTGAACGAGTATATGAAATAATTATATTTTTTATTAACTAATTTTAAGCAGATTTTGCCGCTATAAAGTTCTGATTTAACGTTTAACGTTTACTTGAAAATTTACTTTAGATGCTCAAAAATAGGAAAAATAACAGTATCTAATTAAATATTTAAAAAATGGAAATGTTTTATTAAGAGAATGAAACACTCCTCCTATTAAAATGACTTCATGAAATATTTATCGAATTTAGTAATTTTGAAGACGGTTTTACGTAAAATATAACTTTGTTAATAAATTTTATGGCGTACAAAAATTTATTTTTACGATTATTTATTTCTTTTACTGTATCTGTTATTAAGTAAAATTTAACAAAATCGGTTAATTAGTAATTTACGTTGCTAATTATCGAATTGAGTTCTTCAAGTCATTTTACCTGCATAAAAACATAAACAACTGAAAATGGAGAGTAATTCTTCGTACAATTCAAGAAGCATCGGGGATTTCTCCCGTGTGCGCCGCGCATGATTTTCTTTTCGATATTTATAAAGATTTCAGCGCAATGCACTCATTCTCGTATTAAGCGCGTCCATGTAGAGGATACCAAGCAAAAGTGTTTCCTTTCGTATCTAGAGGGTGATGGTGTTGTAAGCTTCAGCTCATTCGGAGTAATCAGTAATCATACTACCATTTGTTGTATTGTATAACGTACGTCTAGTAATGCTTTTTCACAGTGAGCCAACTAGATATCTGCGCGTAGTAATTAATTATTTTTTTTTTCGAGAACAATTCTTATTGCATGAGGAAATCCGCTAATGCTATAAAGAGGAGGGTTTAGAAAGACATTCTAAATTTAAACTTATACGATTTTCTAAATGTATATCGAGTACACTCTAGTTATCCGTAAGGAAAGTCGAATGGAACGCGATTAATTCATTTAGAGTTAATTTTTCAAGTTTTCCACACATATACATGCAATTTACATAATACTTGCTTATAAAATAAATTACAAAATAAATACTTTTTAGCAGTGATATTTTTTGTGTCGAATGCATTAATCGCGTACGAAACAGAAGAATAAAATTTATCTCAATCTAAATGACAATGTCTAATATCTAATATTTATCATCAATGTGTGATTTATATTAAAATTTTTTTATTGACATACTGATCAGAAATAATTGAACAAAAATTCAAGATTATACAACAATTGTTGTCCTACGTTGTACAACTTTGTCCTGGATCTATTAAAAAGAAAACGAGCAAGTCTTTTGTGTTACGCTCACACTGATCGTGAAGAAAAAAAGTACTCAATTGGCAATTAAAGGCGGAATATTCCGTTGAAAGATTCTTGCAGTAGCGATCATTGTTGCATTGAGATCTTGGATGTGTAGTTGCTATGTGGCTTCAGATTTCTGTTTTTTTTTTGTTTTTTAAGTTTGTCAGGGCGAAAGATTGTTTGGAAATAGCTATTAAGGATTCGCACATCTGATTAACAAAGACCTGAGTTTCAAATGCGTGGATCCTAGCAATCCTAAATTCTAAATGATTCTTTCATAGAAGTGTATACGCGGGTACTAAATATACGAGACACACGGCTGCACCATTAATGCTGCTATTTAAAAACATCTTATTGTTAACGTTCGAATTTTATACGATGGAAATATCGCAGTAGATTGTCGATCATCACAACGATTTCAAACCGATCGCTGGAGAAATATTTCATTGTAGAGATCTTGCCTGTCATCGGAACCACTGATCTTTTGTTTCAAAATTGCATTTGCAGAACTGTGATTTCACGGATCCTTGAAATCCTAAATCTTTGACGCTGTAAATTCTTGATTTCATATCGAGCTCTCGACTCTCAATTTTAATTATAAATTCCTGAATTTTTTTGTGTAAAAAATGACTAAGGAAATTAGTCCTGCTGATTCTGGTGCGCACGTATTCCTGAATTCACGCGTTCCTGGCCGCCGGAGCGGTTCAGTGCCATAAATCCTTAATTGCAAAAGCATCATTGAATTTATACAATCATCTTTAATATTGCAAATTCTTAATTTTACTATTTCTTTATTTAACATATCTCCAAATGTTCAGTGTCGTAGATCCTTGATTTATACGGATTCAATTCCATTAAACGATCCTATAGTGTCTGGTTGCGTTATTAATTTAATTATTTAATTGAGCTTATAAATTTTGGAGAAACCAAAGACAAAGGTGCTTTGCCAGAGATTAGAATCTTAATGCCGAGAAACCGGCTATTTAACATCTCGTAAATTTCACAAATATTCCGTCGCTCCTCGCGATCGGTTTCGAAATCCTCATTTGATATGGGGCGTAACGAATATAGTTGTAACGAGAGCTTTTGATTTCAGATTACTATGGAGGAGGCACGAGGTGATCCGACGAAGTCATCGTTGCTGCAGAAGCTACTGCAGTCCGAGTGACTGCAGGCCATCCCGTCATGCAGTAAAGAGTTATATGTAATATATTTTTGAATGTGCGGAGAGCGGAACGGAGATATATAGGACGTAAAAAAAAAAAAACGCGGACGAGAGCCAGAGTGTGAACGGGAGTAGATGCGCGAGAGAGAAAGAAAGCGAGAGTTATAAAATGCATATACACTTATACGTAATGGATACTATTGTATTATATGTAACGTCACACACGGAGTCAGTATTCATATACGTATCACCAAATACAATGCAAAACTAGCGCGCGGTGCTCTCTAGAATGTTGCCCGTCGGTCAGTCGAGGAAGACGGGACGAGAGAGTGAGAGCGGGAGAGGAGAATGGGAGATTAGAAAGAAGAGAGAGAGAGAGAGAGAGAGAGAG